GGCTGTAGTTTTGTTGTTGGTTGTAGTTTTGTTGTTTAATGGATGTAGTTTTGTTGTGTAATGGCTGTAGTTTTGTTGTTGGTTGTAGTTTTGTTGTTTAATGGATGTAGTTTTGTTGTGTAATGGCTGTAGTTTTGTTGTTGGTTGTAGTTTTGTTGTGTAATGGATGTAGTTTTGTTGTGTAATGGATGTAGTGTTGTTGTTTGTTATAGTTTTGTTGTGTAATGGATGTAGTTTTGTTGTTTAATGGTTGTAGTTTTGTTGTTTAATGGTTGTAGTTATGTTTAATGGTTGTAGTTTTGTTGTTTAATGGTTGTTGTGTAATGGATGTAGTGTTGTTGTGTAATGGTTGTAGTTTTGTTGTGTAATGGATGTAGTTTTGTTGTTTAATGGTTGTAATTATGTTTAATGGATGTAGTTTTCTTGTTTAATGGATGTAGTTTTCTTGTTTAATGGATGTAGTTTTTCTGTGTAATGGCTGTAGTTTTGTTGTTGGTTGTAGTTTTGTTGTGTAATGGATGTAGTGTTGTTGTGTATGTGCAGATGACAGCAGCAGTGTGGGTCTCCCTCTCGGTGTGGACTATGAGAAGAAGAAACAGAGGCTGCAGAATGAGCTCCGTCTGGACTACAGGCGTCACATGGCTCAGGTGACCTCTCACACACCTCACCTGTTGCTCACAGCAGCTCAGGCTGTTTTCCATTGGATGTGGCTCAGTCTTTATAACATGAAGGGCTCATTTTTTACACACTAAGTTAATATAAGTATAGAATCATTTTAACAATTCATTGTGTCATCTGTGTGAGTAAACACTGACTGAATGAACAGAGAATGTGGATTTCTCTCACATTAATAAACTTGGACATATTTATAAAATATAACAAAACAGGAACCTGTTAAGTTGGCAGTTTGGAAAAAAAAAAGAATAAATTAAGTAAAACACTTGATCCACCCTGAAGATGAAGAACTATAATTTAAACACAGGGTAATATTTTAAGAATTAAGAGATTAATTCAAAAACAAAGTACAAACGTAATAAAATATCCCTGAAAGACGTGAGATACAAATGAGTCCTTCTGTCTGGGCTGGGCTGATCTGACGTCAGTTACTGTTCATTTGATTGGTTCACTGGCCAGGTTACATCACACAGATGAGATTAACTTCACAGTTATTATTTGTAGTGACCGTAAATGTATTTTTTTTTTATCACACGAGTTAAACTCAACTAGAAGAAGCTAACGTTAGCCACAGTTAGCTTTCCGTTCAGTCGCCCTGCTCTCTAAGCGTCATACTGCTGGATGGTCCAGTACAGCCTTCGGTACTTTTCCTTCCAGTTTGGTGTAGTCCGTTATTATTGTTGTGTCACAAATAAAACTAAAAAAGACTCGTGAATTTAAATATGACGCTGTCCACATCGAGGCTGCTCTCTGCTCTGCTCAACAAGGCCGTACAGTACAGTAAGTCAGGCTGAGAGCAGCAGCGCCCTCTGCTGGATGAAGGCAAACTCCACTGAAATAAGGTTTCAACCAGAGGTGCCCAAAGTGGGGCCTACGGGCCAATTTTGGCCCGCCAAACCATTTGATCTGGCCCACCAGCAGTTGTCCTGGGTACTAGATTGTAATTATGTTGAGATTAAATATAAAATACAAGTAACTACAAGAAACATTTAGATTAGATCAAAGCCCAAATCTAGAGTTGCACACATTAAAAGACCACATATACTC